AGTATGGGGCGTGGCGGGGCGTGGCGGGGCATGGCGGCGTGAGGACGCTATTGAAATGGAACGCGGAGAGCACGAGCAGGACCGGAGCGGGGGACCGGAGCGGGGGACCGGAGAGGGGGACCGGAGAGGGGGCGAAGGTGATATGATCCCATGGCGGTATAGCGGGGACGGTACGGTGGTGGTTGAAGGTGGTGGGGCTGCTGCTGCCGCTGAAAGCAACGGGCTCCGCCGCGGCGCACCGAGTGAAAAGACTGGGCAAAAAGCGGAGCCAGTGCTCTGCTGTAGCAAAAGCACACGGCAAAAAGGGGAACAAACACAAGGGAAAAGCGCGGAAGGCTAAAGTGCATTATCGGTACTTGCTGTATGAAATACACGGACTTTTGACGACGAGTCGTGTTTTAGAGGCACTACACAGAAACGATAAACAACTAAGTTCAAGTTCGATATAGGCAGTCCCTAAAACTGTCACAACCGGATGGCAACGCGGGAGATCGAGTGTTTTGAAAAACTATGCCTTAATTTGAAAAGGCGAGGAAAAAAACAAACAGGCACTTGTCGTTGTTTATGCGATGTATATTTCAATCGCACAACGTGTACGAGAAATTCACTCGTTTCGCCGAAGCGTTCACGTCCAAGCGTCAGGTGGGCGCGCACGGTGGTGAAATAAGAGCGCCGCTGTTTCTGGTTTGAGCAGAGATTAAATTTCCGGGTTGCCCGCCGCAAAGGCAGCGGCAGTAGCAGCAAAAGCAGAGGCAAGGAAAGGCAGAAGCAGCATCAAAAGCAGCAGCAGCAGCGGTTGTAAAACAATTCGCCCCCGGTGAGAGCGCCCATGACGTGTCGCTCCACAGCGCCTTCATGGCTCCGTGACGGGGCGAGGTGGCTCCCCCGGGGGCCACGGGGCTGGGCGGGAACCGTCTGCAGAACGCCCCGCCCCGCCCCGCCCCACCGCCCACCCCACCCAACGCCCACGACGAGGAAAGTCACCTGCGAGCAGAACAAAGCTGTGCGTAAAACGTACGGGGGGAAATGGGGGATGATGGGAAGGGAGAGAAGGGGGGCTGACATGACGGCGGCGGAACCTGCAGCCGGGAGGGATCTCTGGGGGAAGGGAAGCCCCTTTGTGCGGGGCTGCTGCGTCCTGGAGGCAGACGTCGGAGCAGGCGCCCGACCGACCGACCGACCTTTACCCCCATCCCCTACCGATCTGCGTCACAATGCGAGCCGGCGGCAAGGTAGGGGGCGGGCGACTGGGGAACAATACCGCTGCCGCTGTGACTGTGCCATATCGCAACGGGGGCGGGGGCGGCGCAGCGCGGGCCAAGGGCGGGCGGCTGCACGGGCTGACTGCGCGCACGTACCACTGGACCACCAGAGCACCTCGAGCAGACACTCAAGTGCAGCAGCCAGGAGGCTTGTAAGGGCCAAGAGCGGGCTGCAGGAGTACGGACTGACTGCGCGCACGTACAACTGGGCCACCACCAGCACCCACCACCTCAGGCAGCCGAAGGGCCAAGGGCGGGCTGTACGGGCTGGCTGCGCGCACGTACAACTAGACCACTAGCACCTCGAGCAGGCACTCAAGTGCAGCAGCCAGGAGGCGAAGGGCCAAAGCGCCGCGTCGCCACCCGGCACCCGGCATGACGAGGACAAACGACACTTTTGCAGCCACGGCGCACCGCGGCTCGTCCGTCATCCACCCAGTCAACAACCCGAGCGCCTGCTCTCTCCGCGAGCTCCGGCATGCTCTCCTCTCTCCACATCTCTCTCTCTCTCTCTCTCTCTCTCTCTCTCGCTCTCTCCCCCTCTCTCTCTCCCTCTCTCTCGCTTGGGTCAGGCTCACCCACGCACTGACCAACGCATTAATAAATTCGATCGACCAACACTTGGTTTATTCATGACCAAGTGCCCGGTGGCGCCCCGGACCCTGCCCGCCGGTTCGGAGATTCGGTCCAGTTGGAGACCAGCGCCCTCACAGCAGGCGGGCGTGGGTGTGGAGGCAGGGGGGCCTTCCTGCCGAGTGGAGAGAGAGAGAGAGAGAGAGAGAGAGGAGGGTGAGGGGAAAGGAGATAGGGAAAGAGAGAGGAAGTGAGAAGGACAGACTTGACCTGCGGTATCGAACACGCCCAGCAGAGGAGGCAGCAGCAGCAGCAGACGCAGCGCAACAAAACCAACAAAACCCTTTGCTCTCCTTTCATGTCGCGTGTCGCGTTCGCATGGCTGGAGCCACACACAACCTGCTCCTTCTCGCTCTCTTCCCCTCCCTCTCTCTCTATCCCTTTTCATCTCTCTCCAGCCGATACATCATGGAATTAGCGGAAGAGACTTTTCCAAAACGCTGATTTCTTCGTCGTCTCCCCTCTCGGTCTCTCCACCACCATCCTCTTTCTTACCCCAATGTTTTTCCAGCGTTCTGGAGGGTATCAAAGGGCCCTTGATACAGTAATACCCTCTCACTTCCGCTCTCTCTCTCTCTCTCTCTCTCTCTCTCTCTCTCTCTCTCTCTCTC